TGGTATTCAGTCTATAAATATGAGAAATCTATGTGATTAAAATTGTTGACATTCATTTAAAAATTGAATTATCTCCCTTTGATAATTGTGAGATCTTTAGTGTGAGAGATAAAAAAAAATCATTGGACAAAACTAAATGGAAATTGTTTACATTGTCAACATATATCCTGGATTTCAAGTAAAATCAAGTTTTTTTTTTCTGTTTATTTAATGTGTATATAAATTTTAACCTCTTTATTTATTTTTCCTGCATGCAAAAGAGTAATTTTGATTTGTGAATAATGGCGAAATGTACAAGACCACATGGTAGGCCTATATAGGAAATCAGCTCTGTACACATTCATGATATTGAAGCCAGCTATAAGCCTCATTATATTAGGTCTTAGGAGTTTCAAAATGGGGATGACAGATAAACTTGAGATATTAGAAATGATATTGAATTGGTTATAAGAAGAGGTACAGTGTCTCAGACAGAGTGATATATACATGTAATAATGAATACAGCTTTGGAAAGCCAGTGTTTTTTTTAAACAAATGTGGGGAAAAAAACCGAAACTGAATTATAATGTGAGAGAACTATAAGGCTATTGATTTTACCTAGATAATTAAAGTCGAGCTACATTTACATGATTGAAATTGATTGTACAAAACTAGAAGTTGAAAGTTGGATAAAAATAGGCTTGGCAACAACAAAGTACATCATACTACATGTGCAGGTGTATCAAGTTTATATTGAATGATGTGATGAAAGTTGATGCTTGTCATTAAAGGAATGACCATTTGGAACGGGTGGGGAGGTGACATATTTTAGAAACTAATAATCTTTTCTTGAAAATTAATGTTGAAAATAAATAATCTGACCTCGACTGACAGGAAAATAAATAATCTATCTTTGATAAGTGCTACAACCTCCATCCCCATCCACAAGCACTTGTTTCGGTAATAATTCTTTTTTAACTTTTAGTATAATAAGTATTTTTTATCATACTATATTACTTTCATCATACTAAAAAATCATTACTGAAACATGTGCCTGCCCCCCCCCCAATAGAGTTAGGACTTCTCTCTCTCTCTCTCTCTCTCTCTCTCTCTCTCTCTCTCTCTCTCTCGTGGCTCTTCAGACTTTTTTTTACTGAAGCATAAAATAAATAATCTGTCCTGGATCATATTGGAAATAAATTTTCTGTCCTTCACAACCATGAAAATAGATTGTCAAATTTGTATGTACTGATGGTTCAAAGAAGTTCATAATTAATTGGATATTCAATTTTAGGCAAACAACATTATTGTAGAAAAAAAATTCACACCTAAAAACCCTGTTTTTAGTGAGGAACATAACAAAAAAACTCAATTTTTTAAAAGTCCTCCTTCTGTTTGCCTTGATCTGTATCACAAAAATAGAGAGAAAAGTTATGTGTGTATATTTCAGATTTGGACTGTTTATTTATTGATTTTGAAAACATTTACAAAGAAATTGATAATGTTGCTGTTCTAGGAATTTTCTTTAAAGGAAAGGTCTTTATCCCTTTAAAAAATAAAGAATTTAAAAAAATTGTTTAGGCCAATAATAATAATGTTTTGTTTGATTCCTATCAAACAGTCAAAATTATACTTTCATTTGGGGGGTGGGGGGGGGGTGCATTGAACTACAAATTGTCTGAATCATATTTAAAGTTAATAGTTTATCATTTCTCTAGACTAAGATACATTTAGATTAAATCTTATAGCAGTAAAATTAATATTAAATCTGTCTAGTTGTATTTTATTAATTATGAAAATATAAATCATAAATTTCTGACAAGCACCCCCGTTTTTCTACCAAAAAAAATTAATAAAATTAACCACAAAAAATCTATACCCCAGGAATGGGAGCGAGGTGGGGTTAATCACTTATGAATGAACCGTTTTGATTCATATTTATAAATAATGCATCTTAACGTTTTACAAGGGATCCATGTTTTTCTCATAAATGACTCTTACCAATTTATGTGGGGTAAGTGCTTTTACGTGGTTTCTAGAAGGGGTGGAGTAAGCCCTGGTCATTTGTTACTTTATCATATTCATTTTTTTCATAAAATGAAAACTGAAGGAAGAAGGCAGGGTTAGATAATTTATTATCATCAATTTCAGGGATTAAAGCTGAGAAATTATGTTTACATTACACACCATAAGGTGTACGATTCCATTAAGCTTACCAACGAACTCAAACTTAGCAACCGACACAAATTCAAGAAACAACAAAAACAGATTATCCGAACAGGTCCAGCACTTTTTAAAACAGATTATTATTGATTAAATTTTGGAAATAGCAGATCTATTACGTAAATCCAGGCATATTTGGTTGAATTATCATCAATGCCTCTAAATTTTTTTAAGAACAATATTGCAAAGTAAAATGGATTTAGTCTTTTTCTGTCAACTTCTCTGTAAAAAGTCACAGGAAAACACATTTTGACTTCCACTGGAAAAGCGCAGAGTGTTGAATAGTGTCAAAAAATTTTAGAAGAAGGACTTAGTCTACAAAAACAACATTTGCATGTAGCACAAGTTTCTCAATATGATGTGTATAGACTTTCAATATTTTGACTTGGATACTTTTTTTTTTTTATCAATAAATGACCTTAAAAAACATTCTAATAGCATTTTCACATTATGCATCAAGCTAAAGGTGAGAATGTAATACCAGTTTCAGTAATTTGTAAAAATACATTGAATATAAAACAGGATAGGACATTCACAAAATCCGAGTATAATTGCTATACTAACAAGCTAATTCAAAGAATCTTTGTCCCCTGCTTAAGAAAAAAAGAAGAGCATGTATGGATCTAGAGGGAAGGGGGTCAGAGGGTGGTGAAAGTGGGGGGACGGGACACTTTAAGAGGGGCGGGCAGGTCCACAGAGAGTTATGATATAAAATTTCATTGCAAAAGCTTAAAACCTTCTTGAGATATCGCTCGGAAATGAAAGTTTTATACACAAACAGAATGTAAAAAAATTTCACCTTGACCTTTGACCTTTTGACCTTGAAATCAACAGGGGTCTGCTTTAGGCCATAGGGAGTTGTGGTATAAAATTTCATTGCAAAAGCTCGAAGGCTTCTTGAGAAATCGCACGGAAATAATGTGTTAAAACAGATAGAATTTATGAATTCATGACCTTGACCTTTGACTTTAAAATCAATGGAGGTCTTTCTTCGGCCACAGGGAGTTGTTATGTAAAATTTCATTGCAAAGGCTTCAGGCTTCTTGAGACATCGCGCCGAAAGAAAGTGTTATAGAAAGACAGACTGACGGAAGGACGGATGGATGGACAGACCTAAATTAATATCCCCACTTTCAGTGAAAGTGGGGGGACAAAAAGGCAAATTTTATATACCATTGTGACCTTGAACTTTGACCTTCTGTCTGTATTAAACAATTCAAGTGCTGCTAGTTATTGTCCACCAGAATTGTAATTTGTTTCTTCATTAATTATGTTGTGTAAAACACAAATATAAGTTATGACACAGAAAAACATTTATTTAGTTTTCTTAAATTTCCCTCTAAATCGAGCCAATTTGACCTTGACCTTTGACCTTTGGTCATGAAAATTGATTTTTCTCTTTGTTTTTGCTATTGTGTACCACATATCTAAATTTGGTTTTAATCCATTATAAATATACTCAGGTATTTATATGGAAACTGATGGTAGATATCTATTGCCCTTGTCAGGAGTTCTTAAAAAAGCATAAGTTTGTAACCATGGTAACATGAAAACAAAGTATGAATACCAAGTGTGTCTTTGCAGTTTCTATTAGAACAATATATGGACTTTCAGACCAATGTATTTATTTTTTCCCAAATGTCCGCAAAATTTTATACCAGGCTTTTCAAAAGAGCCTAAAATCTACAATTTCCTCCCAGAAAAATCCTTCTTAAAAACGGGGGATATTTTTTTGTATGAGGTAAAGTTACTCAAATGCTAGAAATGATCTAAACAACTATAAAAATGAAATATTTTGGCAAAAAGATAGAGTAATGTAAATATCTTGTTCTATTTAAGACTTTTAATCAGTCAAAAACGATAATTTTTCATCAAAATTTAGCGTATTTTAGGCCATGAAAAATTTATGTTGGTTGCCATGGTAACCATTGACCATAGCAACCATTTTATTATGAATTTTAGTTTCATACCTCAATATAGGAATGTGTGCCAAGTTTCATAAAAATCCAAGACCTAGCGTGCCACACTCCCTATATAAGAGTTTAAATGCTTACAGAGAATGGCTATTATAAAGGAAGAAACCCATTGATATAAATTACAAAATCTAAAATAAAAATTTGTTCTTAACAGACAGAATATCCAAGTAATAAATGAATATCAGTAACAAACTTTAATATTTTAAAATTAATTTGATGACAATATGCAACATCAAATGTAGTTTTGTGGTAATGCAGAGGAAATTCGGACTATTTTTTTAAAAAATATTTATTTTTAAAGAATGTTATCCTAGAATTAAGTTTCTATGCTTTTTATATAGTTTTGCATAGATTATATTTGTTAAAACTCATGTACAGTTGTATTATTAAAAATAATTTAAAGGCATGCAGGAATTTTGAAATATGAACAAATCCATTCAAGACAGCATATTTCAGAAGTATGGTCATTGACCTTATATAATCTACCAGCAGAATAAGGACGATAGAAGTAACTGAGGCTATAAATAGTTTAGGGTTCTCATCATTCAGTTTTTTTGTAATATATGATAGATGTAAAAAACTGGGTATGATTTAGAAAAATTACAGAAGAAATTTGGAATAAATATTTTAACAAGTTTATTGTCAACTCCAATCGATTAGTTTATTTAGTATACCCTTTACTTCATTTTATTCATTATCCAAAACGTTCCATTACTTGTTATATTTTGCTGAGACCAAAAGTCTTGATCATAGTGCAAAATTTTCAACATATTAATTGTGATTTCACGCTAAATACTCAGAAGCCTCTAGAATAAAAAGTATGTCATAGACCTACTTATTTGAAAGTGGAAAATAACACCATAATCATAGGTTCACAAAGTACAAAGGTTGTTTTCCATTGCCATTCGTGGAATTCTTTTGCAGTCTAAGTGAATGTCATCCTTAATGCATTCATTCATTCATTTATTATTTTTTTTTACCCAAAAAAATCCACATGAAAAAAACTGCACAATACGCATTTCAAATCTTTGTCCAGAAGCTGTACCAGGTATCACACACACAAAAATGAAAAACATTTCTGAAAATTCAAAATAGAAAAATCAGAAATTAGGCACTTTTATTTGGCAAAAATTTAACATGCATATAGTCTCACATTTCTAGTTGTTAATCAACAGAAAACACAGTCTTGCATTTTCCATAATTCAATAAAGCATTTATACGTATTTATTCTCCCCTTTGTCACTTACCAAAAATACAATCGGTGTCGATAATTATTAAGTAACACATTTTTACTCTTGGTTGAGAAGTTCACTTTCCTCAAAACTTAAGTTTAAAACATTCTGATTTTCGGTATCTTCCTTATTTCCCAAATTCCATTCTATAAAGAAAATTCAGTTCAAACTTACATATCAAAGTGAATTTTAATATTGATTCTGAAAAATCTTTATCATAAATTCTAAAATAACATTTCATGTGTCTATACTCACTCTCATAAAAATCCGTATCTATTGTTTCTACAATAAACAAATAAGAGTGCTTGCAAAGAACGTCCAGGAATTCTGTGTACCAGTTTGGATGGTGGCGACAAACTCTATTCAACAGAACAGCTGTGGCACACATTTTACCCTTTAATAATTCTGCTGACTCAATGTTTTCTTTATCCATTTGGTTTATCACGTATCTATGAAATAGATCTATGATGATTTCAGATGGATCCAGTCTTTCAATTAAAAGTTTTGTGTATTTGACGAATATGTCCCTCGGTATTTCCTGGCCTTTCTGCGTTTTTACTAAATACTGACGCTCTACAAAATATGTCAAATTATCATAACACTTCAACAATGTTTGAATTAACCGTTCGCCCGACAGCCCGAAACGCACAAATTTTGCAATCGGCAATCCTCGGCTGACTCCGCTACGCTCCATACAAACCTCTGATGAGATTGGTGGAGGAATATGCATTAAATCGGAAACTGCCTTGTAACTTATTTTATATTTCGATGTTCATAAAGTTCTCAAAAAGTTTTTTCAACGGAACTATTAATTTCTTTTTCTACATCAAGTGTCCAGTACTTACTGCACTAAGGTGCAATTCAGGCATCTTAAGATGGTCAATTTTTGGTGGACATTGGTGGTAATTCTTCCTTGTATATTGGTTTTGATTACAACCTTATGTTAGTAGTCTTTGAAAGCAAAAACATAGTATTGGGCGTGCCACAAAGTAATTCAGATTTCAAAGGTATACCATTTGGAAGAATTTCAAAAAAAGATCACATGATTGTATCAGCAAAATGGTAGAACACCGTTTACGTCTGAGGTTAGTGTGCGAGGTACGAGCCACCCGAGGAGCTTTGAGTGCAAATTTTGCAGTGGGCGAACAAAGAACTATAAACGGTAAGGGCGTATTCCAGCCCCCATAATAGTCAAATTTTGAAAATCTCTTGAAATGAGAAAAAGTGCATATATTGTATAAAATAATCCAGATTAAGACAATATATTATGAAATTGGAAAAATTAGCTTGCTTTTCTTGTCTCTGTGACGTCACAAACTATTTGGATTTCCGTTATTTCTAAAATAGAGGCCAAAATGCACAGAGTTTGTTCAATTTTGACTATAGTTTTTATAGAGCGCAAGCTTGCTCAGGTACCATATTCACATATTTCATTGATATTATCATTCTACACATTATATCAAAAGATCTAGTCTGAGCAGACCTGCGCTCGATAATTTCCAATCAAAATACCGACGTAAAATACGCTATTTTCTCTCAAAATCATTGCAATTTGGAATTTACGTCATTTTATTGACGTCATATCTAACTAATGATGTCATAGTTGATAAAAATATTTAATGCTTTGAAGTCTGGAAATATCCATCTGGTTTAGAACATAATTAAGATTTCTCCATCAAAGTTTTATTTTGGGGGCAGATACTAGCCACTACAGAATATAGTCCTTTACATGTATCGACGCCCGGCCGGATGTGTTAAAATTTTTGATAAGTAATATAGTAAGTAAAATTCATATAAGTTATAAATCTCTCTCAGTCAGTTGATAGTATCGGTAGCAAAGTGTAACAAGCCAAGAAGAAGAAGTGATTAGATTCATGATCGAAGTTGTCGCGACCTGGTCCCAGTCACATACCGGTATTGGCTCGAACAAATTTATGAAACATAATTATTTTCTCGGGCTAGTAGATATTTGACTACCAGTCAGCCCGTCGCCCGAGTGGCGCAGTGGTTAGAGCGTCTTCTCTAGAGTCGCGAAGTAAGGAGTTGATCCTTACGTCGTGGGTTCGAAATCCCACTGTGGGATGTGGAGACCGGTCCTTCGGATGAGACCGTAAAAACAGAGGTCCCGTGTTGCAGTAGGTACTGGCACAAAAAAGATCCCTCACTGCTCAATGGCCGTAAGTGCCGAGTATAGGACAAAATTTGCAGCTCTCCACCGGCAAGTGGTGGCGTTTCCATATGAGTGAAAAATTCTCGAGAGGGACGTTAAACAACATACAAACAAAAAACCAGTCAACCCTGCATGTCTGGCTAATTTTACAGTGGGTTTCAAACACTGACTCCAACCAAAGAAAGTTCTGTTCTAGCACATCAGAGATTAAAAAGAAATTGCTGAAATGAAATATGAAGATAACGAACAGTAATCAAGCTCGAAAGTCCATTGAAACAATACTAATTTGGAGCAGAGCGAATACGGATCTCAAAAAACATCAGAGGTGGAATCAGGTGTCATGGAGGAGTAAGCATCCCCTGTCGTTCTGTCACATCCGCCGTGTGCTCCTTGTCGTGATCGGGCAAATGGATAAAAATCGGAAGACAATTCAGTGTGAAAATAATAGCCTAACAATTTGTTTGAAAAATGTCAATCAGCATTCGACTCAATGATAGATTGTATTTGCAAACAAAGTCATTGGATCGACCATAAAATTAGTGATTTTTTTTTTACTTTAAACGACAAACAAAGTCATTTGATCGACCATAAAATTAGTGATTTTTTTTACTTTAAACGAGACTGTTGATATTCCTGTTCATCAGGAATTGCGTATCGAATCAACTGAGAGACATAAACACCATATGCAGATGATAATGGTATATTGCTAGGTAAATAAGGGGAGCTGACGACAGAAAAGTTGAATTCATCACGTTTATCATAAAGTTTTGTTGTTAGGTTACCATTAACGTCTTTCTCTAGTAAAAATTTCCTAATATGATAAAGATGCGTCAGACTCTGTGATATCTTTTTTTTGGAGTTCAAAAGGATATATTGATTCAACGTAGGAATGAAAAGGAATGAAAATGAATATTGATAATCGATGAAACTCCGTCGATATATCTAGATGTTAAATTGAAGGCCAAGGAAGAGATTTCTTCTTTTCATGAAAAGTATATAAAAAAGTTATTTTTTAAAAAAATCCCTCGCAAGATATAAAATTCCTAAAATTGAAGTATGTCTCAAGACCACAATTTGACATCAATTAACACACCTTATGAGAGTTCACTTATGAGACTTGTCACGTAGGCATATTTCATTAAGCGCGCTAGCGCTTCATGAAAAAATATGCCTACGTGCAAGTCTGTGTGATTTACGTAATGGATAAATAACGAGATGGTGTTGAATAGTTTAGAGAAAACATTCCCTCCAAGGGCCGAAGGCAAGAGGAGGGGATGTTTTCTCTAAACTATTCAACACTATCGAGTTATTTATCTTACTTAAAAATCTTCCCCACTGTGGACCCCAAAGAAACATTTACCCATTCATATATCCAACTTTGCTAAATACAATAGGATCTAGCCAATTTAGATATCCAACAGTGACACAATACAATAGCCTAATCGAACACCCCTTTTATTCATGGACTAGTGAGCATGAAACTGCATGGTGTTAATGTCATTTCAAACCTTTCCATTGTACTGAACAGTCATGAAATCAGATGAAGAAAAGTGTAAAATCCAAAGTAAAATTAGAGCGGTTCAGATAGTGTTCTGAATACTTTTGACTTGAAAACAGAAGAAAACTACAGAATTTTGATAAAAGGTTAGAAATCTATCATTGCATATAAGATGATGATTTGTTGCATGGGGGAAAAATGTTTGAATCTTATGGAGTTCCACTCAGTCAATACTTCTAGTAGTGCTAAAACAGATGAAAAGATTGTCGGTGTTATGCGGAACCTGCTTTAAAAATATTCTATATCAAGATCTGCAATAAAAAAGGTGTCAAAAATAGATGGGCTGTCAATTAATTAAATTGTGTTGGGAAGTATGCTGGAAAAATATGAGAACAGAGATGAACCTCGAATAATCTGAGAGGATTTGCTGTGACGGACCCCTGAAATAATATTCAGCAACAGGAGGTGATGTGGTTTAAGGTTCTAGGTGGAAATGTATTTAAAAGCGTGTCAAAATGTGATACTTTCAAAATTTAAGACCGGAAATATTGTTAAAATACCATGGATAAGTATTGGATATTTTATTGACGACAAGAGTCTAACAGTGTGCAAATTCGGAGGAATTGTAATTTTTGTGAGCATTGGAAGTACATTTTTAACACGATTCTAATGGTGTGATAAATGCAAAGTGATTAATTCTGTGTGTATTGGACAAATTCTAATAGTGTGACAAATTCGGAGTAATTGTTTTTTATTTGCATTGGAAATACATTTTAAACTCTTTTATCTCTTTTTTTCATTGCTTAATTATGTTTGTATGCACAGCTGGATATTTAAATATCCAACCGATGGGCAGTTGGATATTTGAATATCCAACTGATGGCCAGTTGGATCTTAAAATATCCAACTAGTGCTGGTTGAATCGGTAAGATATACGTAGACTAATAACAATGGCTGACGTGATTGAAGTTTTTTAAACACCAATAATGCATAATAAACTTAAAAACATTCCTTATATTTACATTTTACATGTTTAAATGCACCAAAAATATACTTAATGTTTGGATTTCTCGCTGACCTATATCGTCATATTTTTATTAAGGTCTCTGTAGCCTCATTGTGACGTCACTTTAGCGCGAGTTTCTCCGTGTATATTTCTACGCTTGAGTATACACAAAAATGGCTTTCAAATCAATTTCAAAGTTGGTTTAGGGGAAAAACACAATATATATATATATATATATATATATATATATATATATATATATATATACGAGGGTTGTCCGTAAAGTTCGTGGACAACATTGATAATTACTGACAAACATTGTTAAAATGTGTGAAACTATTATTTTCATTAAATTCATGTTTCAGTTTATTAATATGCAAGTTTTAATCACAAACAAAGCACAAATAGTTATATTTTATCAGATACAAAAAAGATACACAAGCAAGATTTATAAGGGACTATTTCTTGTGGTGGAAGGATATTTAGCAGAAAATTCTGCAAATCTACACATTTATTAAATTAAATATCTTGGAACTTTAGCCTCACATACTTTTGCTCAGAGAATATTTTCCGTTATGATATGCCTGGAATATTAAATATAGGTCTTAATTTATATTTTTATAACAAAATTTACACCTTCGCTCAACAAACTTTGCCAAGAAATGAAAATATATTAAGGAAGTCGAGATAAAATTTACACAGTTTTTTGCCAGAAAATTGCATATTTTGACCAATATTTCAAAATTTACATCACTGACCCAAACTTTTTCTTTCATAATTTTAAACTACTCGATACTTTTGACCGATCAGCACTTAAGTCGTAAAAAGTTTGATACAAGAAAATATTCTATTGCCTATTTAGATTTTTAATACCCCAAATATGAGACTTTTTTAGTGCAAAAAGGTCACACAATAATTTACGCGCATTAATTTGCATGATTTGTTCAATGATAAATATTATTCAAACTATTTTACGTAAAATAAGATTATGTTTATTGCCATGGTTACATCTGATAAAATATGATAACGGTTAAAGTGATTAATCAAAGAGTTACAATTTAAGTGCAAAAAGGTCAACTTAATTGTACCGTAGCTCAGTTAGATGCACACTGACCCCCCATTTTCTCTGCGATTTTGAGTCATACTATATGAGTACTTATCCAAAATATACTTCTCAAAAAATCCTTGATATAACAAATTTCACGAGTGACATACCTTAAGTTTTCTCAACGTAGTCACCGTTAAACTCAACACATATCTTATGTCGCTTCAACCAGGCATCAAAAATGTGCACAAACTGTTCTGGTTTAGTTTCATAAGTGAAATAATATTTAACAGTTCCTGTCTCAGATCCTGCAAATCATCAAACCTCTGTCCGCGTAAAACGACTGTATGTACGGAAATACGGCAAAGTCACGTTACGAACTTCATTTTTTTACAGCATTACAATCTAGGAAAGATGGTCCTCCTTCACTCATGTCATCCAGTAAACTGTCTCTTCCGTCCGCAAATCTTCTGTGCCACTTAAACACTAAAGAATAGATTACTTTACCATGATTTTCCGACTGTTTAAAGAGTTTATGAGTCTCTGTTGGTGTTTTTCCGATGTCTACACAAAATTATATCACTACTCTCTGCTCCACCTTTTCCAAAAATGTCCCTTTTTCGAACAATGAAGATCCTGTCTTAATAAACTCTGACCTCGATTCCTTTGCCATTTCGAAACTTTGAACTTTCAAATTTTACAGGTTTGACGTTATAACTTTTGTAAACCTTATAATGTAAAAACCATCCAAATTACCGCAGAATTTTACAAAATACAAATGAAATGTATAAAGTAATAACTAACTTTTTAATAAAAACGTTGTTGTGCTCCGGGTCACCATCCCAAGTCTAATAATGAAGTCATAATTGTAATTATACTCTTAAAATTGAATAAAATTATTCATTTTGTAATTCACACATAGTAAAGGATTATAAATATACTGATGATGAATATCTATGACGCAACTTTTATTTAAATTTTAGCTTGTCCACGAACTTTACGGACAACCCTCGTATATATATATATATATATATATATATATATATATATATATATATATATATATATATATATATATATATATATATATAACTCTTGACATGGTTAATCATCTCTTCCACAATCCATGATCCGGGTTAGTGTGAATGAGGGAACACGCCGGAAAGACATGCCTCCTACATTATGTAAACTTTAGGTTTTGTGACGAAAATATCAATTATTTCTTTAAAAAATTGGACATTTGATTTGCCAGACAATGACATGAAAGTTTTTGCACTTCTTCTCAAGAAATTAGAGATTGGCTTGTGGTAGAGAAAATTATAGTTTTGTCTATTGTTTTCCCCGTCAGGAGTTTTTGATAGATACCATCTCGGAATTGTATCCCCATAATGGAATCTAGCGCCTCGTACCCAGATCAGAGCTAGAAATTCTCAGAGCCTCAAATTAATTTAAAATCTTTGTCTCTGGACCATGATGTGAACAACTTGGGATCTATCTATATGAAATGTTTGTTTTATTATTCACAGCATCTGTTAACAATGATAAGAAATAATGTCGGAAACTTACAAGAGATCGATTGGCCACATTGCTCACCTGAGCATTTTGGTTCAAGAAAAGCTGAAATCGTTTCATTATTGAAAATTTTTAATATTTATGTTGTCCCAACCTACCCCCAAGGGGTTCGACACTAGCTGAAGATGCCTTAATATTTCTGTGACAAATTAAGGCATTAGAAGAGTTTAAATATTTTTCCCTATATATTTCTATGTTAAAATTCGATCTTCTATTGTGGCCCCGCCTTACCCCCAGGAGTCATGATTTGAGCAAATTCGAATATACACTTCCTTAGGATGTTTTCTTAAAAATATCACTAACCATGGCTTTACTGTTCTTAATAAGAAGATATTTCCTATATATACCTATGTAAACATTTGATCGCCTGTTGTTGTTCCACCCTACCCCAAGGAGTCTTGATTTGAACAAACCTGAATCTTCATTACCTGAAGATTTCTCCATATAATATGACTAATCATGGCTGTTCTTGAGAAGAGGATTCTTAAAGATGTTCCTATGTATTCTTATGCAAAACTTTGATCGCCCGTTGCGGCCCAATCCTAGCCCCAGGGGTTATTATTTAAACAGTCTTGAATCAACACTTCCTGAGAATGTTTCCATATAAATATTACCATGGTCATGGTTTTCCTGTTCTTAAGATTTTTTCCTACATAATTCTATGTAAAACTTTGAATCCGTTCTGTGGCCCCTCCATAGGCCCGAGGGTCATGATTTGAACAAAGTTAAATCTACATTACCCACGGATGCTTCCATATAAAAATCACTAATCATAGCTTTGCAGATCTTGAGAAAAAGATTTTTAGAGTTTTCCTATATAATACTATGTAAATCTTTAATTGCCCATTGTTGCCCCGCCCTAGTCCCGGGGGTCATGATTTGAACAAACTTAAATCTACACTACCTGAGGATGCTTCCCTATAAATATGATTAATTATCATGGTTTCACTGTTCTTGAGAAGAAGATATTTCAGAAGATTTTTACTATATATTCCTTTGATAAAGTTTGATCGCACTAATGTGACCCCGCCTTAACCCCGGGGGTTACGTTTTGAACATAAATGAATCTACACTACCTTCCATATTGCTTCCATATTAATATCACTAATCATGGCATTGCAGTTCTTGCGAAAAAGATTTAAACAGATTTTTGGTATATATTCCTATATTAATTTTTAATTGCCCAATGTGGCCCCGCCCTAGTCCCGAGGTCATTATTTGAACAAAATTGAATCTACACAAGGTAATATAGCCTTCCTATAAGTTTCAGCTCTTTTGGCCCAGGAGTTATTGAAAAGATTTTTAAAAAGTCATTACATTTCCACTTATTGTCCCCTGCTTTTGCGAAAGCGAGGGGAAATTAAATTTCATTCATCTGTCAGTCTGTCCGTCTCTCAGTCTGTCTGTCACAAAAAACTTTAACCTTGGTCATAACTTTTGAAAGAGAAGAGATAGGGCTTTCATATTTCACATGTACATTACCTTTGACAGAAACTTTCCAAATATACGATGATTTTTCGACCCCGTGACCTTGACCATGAAGTCTGACCTACTTTTCAAACATTTTAACATTACTTTAAATTGGTCATAACTTTTGAATGAGAAAATATATGGCTTTCATATTATACATGCATATTACCTGTGGAAAGACCTTTCCAAATATACTATGATTTTTGACCCGTGACCTTGACCTTGTTTATTTGAAGAAATTTGAAGCCCCCTTACCCAAAGATGCTCTGTACCAAAATTGGTTGAAATTTTCTCTGTGGTTTTGGAGAAGGATGAAAATGTGAAAAGTTAAAGACGACAACGACGGCGGACAACAGACATCCTTCGGCTCCGATGAGATAAAAATCAGTCATTTTTTTTTTAATTTCTAATGAATATTTACAGGAAACACATTGAACATTTCTCATTCACGTTCATTTTTTCTATTTATCAGCATGTAGTCATTTTGCCAAATGTAATCAACACCCCCCAACAAAAAATAATAACGAAAACAACAGAACAATTGCACGAGTATATTTACAAATGCATACGTATTTGTACTGTTGAATATTGTTAATATTCATTGACAAATAGGTTATGTTGGGTCTATTAAATATGTTTTTTATACTTCACTAATGATGATATCCATTAAGGCTTACCAAAAGCGATCGTTAGGATCGATTTACATGAATCCTACCCCAGTGATCTATATTCCTGTTGTTGCTGAAAAGATAACTTTAAAATATTTCTTCATAGAGATTTCTATGGGAAATATTTAACATCCTTTTGACCCATCTATCCTCTACAGAGTCATACTTGAAAAATGTTTTCAGAAAAGTTTGTTTTATGAGCTCAGGTGAGCTGATAAGTACTTAATAATAAACTTAACACAATAATCCCTCCTACCTTTATCTATGTTGGTTATTTTTTAATTACATTGTACTTCCATTTCTTTTGATGATGCATGGTCCAGAGAGAGAGAGAGAGAGAGAGAGAGAGAGAGCTTGAGCTTGATTGAAATTGACTTGTGAAGACAAAGTAAAATTTCATGTACCATGCATAAATAAGAAATAAACATGTAGAATGTCTTTCTTCAATGCAAGAACCACATATTATTTATCATAAACATACCTGATGTCATGCCAGGAACAGTATAGAACGAACTTGGAAGTATTTTGTCAGAAAACGATCTTTCCTGGCTGGTTTCAATTTTGGAACTGTGAGTTGTAACACCGGAAACATAATCCGTTGTAGATTCACTCGAAATATATGGACTGTTCAATGGTTCTTCTAGAGGTCGCGATCGTTCGGCTCTCAATTTCCATTCTATGAATATTTTATTATTAAGTAAACTTAAGATGTCCAAGAAAATTCCATATATTAAAAAGAAAATAAATCATAATCTTCATAGACCTTACCAGGAATTGTTTTTAGATACGTGGAGGGGTAAAATGGGATAACATTTGTAAAGGATCCTTAAAAAATGCATATAGGGTTATTTAATTCCGTATTACCCCTCCAAGTGTCTTGGACTAATATTATATACACACTAATAATAATACTTATATACAGTTACCCTCATAAAACTCTTTATCCATTTTTTCGACAATATATGAATAGCCATCCGTACAAATAACATCTAGGAATTCTTCGTACCAATTCCGATTGTGGTATCGGACGCGATCCAGTAGAAGAACTGTGGCACATGAATTACCCTGTGATTCCTTTTTTGCCTTTATGTTTTCTGCATCGACAGGGTTGATCACATTTCGCATACAAAGTTGCGGAAGGATATCAATAGGGTTCAAACATTCAATCAAATGTTTTCTGTACTTTACAAATACATCAGTCGGTACATCTTTAAGTTTTCTTGGTAAATAAGGTTGCCCTGGAAAATATATAAAACATAACAAAGGTAACCAAATACGACGAAATGATAAAATACTCGATGGATTTTCCTGTTATAATGTTATTGGAAATTTAAAAGTCATAAACATGCAATCGATTATGCAAATCTATCGAAAGATATTGGTACATATTCATTGAAAAAATACTAGGAACAATACGTATTTGTAGCTATGTCGTTTACTGACAGGGAATTTTACAGATATCTACTTTATTGAAAGTTATACCTATGAAGTAAAAATCGCTTAAAGATAATTATGTTAAATCATTTGGCGTTTATCTCAGACATGATAGGAATATTTGATATGCTTCAAACTAGAAAAATAAACTAGAGAAACTTGAAAGAATACTAAGTGTTCGGAGAAGACAAAACTTGTCGAGCTTCAGAATATGTATAATCAGGAATACTCTTTACGATGACCTTTCAAATGAACGTCTTTTGGTGAAAGTTGGTATATACGTATAACAAACACTAAAATTAAAGCAAATAAACTGATAAAAGCAAGAAATTTATTGTATATCAGTGTGTTGTTGGTAAGGTCAAGAAATCAGATAATGAAAATCGGTAACTACTACGCACAAAGTTTCGGTGGATCCGTACTAAGTGGAAAAATTATTTAAACTATGTGGCCCTTGAAAAAAAATCCCTACATATAACATCATCTTTTCTGGTCTTGTGATTCTTGAAAAGAAGACTCCAACCTTTATTTCCTTACTCTGTTATCTCCCCTTTCAAGAGAGCATGACCCTTTACTTCAACAAATTTAAATACCTTTCACTAAAAGATTTTTCTGAGGCAAGTTCAGAAAAAATAAGCAATTCTAGAGAAGAAGAAGAAGAATAACTGAACGATAAAACAGCAGCACAGCTTCTTAACAGTTCTGATTCACATTGAAAAGTCATGTCAATCTTAACGTACGTAACGTTGCAGTGTTCTTCCAAATTTACCTTTCGGTAGTAATTTCCAGTAAATAACTTTTTGTGGTATAACGCTACCGCAGAATTCGCTACCTTTTAGGGGTCAAATCCCAAACATTTCCAATCGCAGAAAATACTCGTTATACGGTATGATTAATGATTAACCTTTTTTAGAAGAAGGCAACTTCTGATAGCTTTGATATCTCTGTATGTTAATGATTATTTATATTTGAAGGCTTTGTGTACTACGTTTTAATAAAGGAAGAAAAAATATCCAAAGAACCAAACAGTACGAATTCCCTCTCGATCAATGCTATTCATGAGTAAGCCTAAGGCATTGTTTCATACCAAATGAATGATCAACAAATTCCATAAATCACAAGCATAATCATCATTATGGGCCTTTTATTAAACAGCGTTTCACTTGCAGCATCTTAGGCAACGCGGATAGTAAATATTTCTGGATGCATCATCTTTGCAAGTGCGGTCACAGTTGCAATATCCGACACAATCCTGGTAGTGTTGCATCAGTAGATGCATAATTCATTCAAGTATGTTCAAGGTAGGGCTCACAGCTACTTTAAAATGGAGCTAAATTTGAAATTTAACATTATCATTGTCCATTAAATATATATCAAATGCAAAATTAGAAGGAAACCTGCTAGTTTGCACCGTAGATGCACCATCCAGGCAAATCTGATCATGGTAGAGCTCACAGTATCTTGGGAATGGACCTGATCCACAAACGTTAACCTGTTCATTAGTTTTGCTCCAAAAACTTACATATACAACGCCGACGCCAGATGTATAGCATTAACTCTTCTTGTCTTCCTCATAATAATCATGCAAGCTGGTAATTGTTCAATTTATATATGTTTCTCTGGACATAAGCTACCTCTGTGTCAAGTATGAAGTTCTGAAAGTTCCCGATTAAAATATTAATTTCATTCTTCTTATTCCTGTCACTTATTATATACAAGAAAACCTTAAAAAAAACTTTTCAATTTTTTTTTTGACAAATCAATTTGGAAATACCAGGTGCATGCATACAGTATGTTCAAACGTACATGTATATATTATATGATATTTCTACACTGTTTGAAAAAAAATCAAATGCAGCACTACCGCATGTTATTTGCAATCAATTAATCAGAGAAACTCTCTCTCTATCTCAGGCGTACTCACGATGTTGATAGACTCTTTACCTTAAAAAGTTGTAACAACTTAAAGAAAAATTACTTTGAGACAAGTTTGGTTGAAATTGTTCTCTGACTCTAGTGGCATGAAAAATTTTAGCAGTTGATGTATGTCGAAGGATTCGCGAGAACAAATGTCGACGGATATCCTTTGATTGTACTATACATGAGGAAATATATAGACGTAATGTTTAACTAAACAATCTTCTAAAAAATACTTATTTCTAACACATGTAATTATAAATCTTACCTGGGGTTAAATTTTCCTGAGGGGAGAAGGATAATTCATTTGAAATGACTTGTCTCTCTAGTGGCTTGGTTTTCCTCAGTTTCATTTCTATAAATCATTTTGACAAAAGAATTAATGACAAAAGCATACGTTCGCCAAAAAAGTAGCAATCATTTAGTAGCTTAAATCCACCTTTTATCACTTTGAAAGAAAAAAAAAGTCATGTATATTTACTTACTCTCATAAAACTTAGTATCCATTGCTTCAGTATCTAGATATGAGTACTTGCAGAGTACATCCTGGAATTCTTCGTACCACTGTTGATGATGGCGCCACACTCGATCTAATAGGACCATTATGGCACATATTCTACACTGAGTTTTTTTCTCTGCCTCAATATTCTCTTTATCCATTTCGTTTATGACTTGTCTGTTGTGAAGTTCTGAGAGGATATCAGAAGGATCGAGTTCTTCAATGAATCCGACAGTGGGTTCCGTTAGAATTTTTCTATATCTTTCAAATGCGACCTTCAACAATTCCTTGCCTTTAAGTGTTCTTGCCACATAATGATATTCTACAAAATATATCAAATAGATTGACTACATCGGAGAAAATCTTATGTTCATACATCAACTTAAGTTCTGTGCGTAATCGTATATTTAGAATAAGAAAGGTATCATCTGAAAACCTAATGACGTTCGTGTTGCAGTAGATGTTGGCATGGAAAAGATCCCTCATTGCTCAATGGCACAAGTGTTGAGTACAGGTTTTGATTTGCAGCCTTCCACTTGCATTAAGTGGGTCCTTAACTTGGTTGAAACATTCTCAAAAAGGATGTTTAGCAAGCAAAGAAACAAATAGCTACTGCATTTAGACGATAAAATCCATCTATATGTAATTAGATTACCTGTTCGAGCATGTCATGCATGTCAACACATATATAATGATTAATTATTTATTAGATCTTTTTCAACATTTACTATTGAATTTGTTGAGGAGATATATTTTAGCTATGAAAAGTTCAGGAAGGAATGAATTGATACTATATTGTATTTTCACGTAGGCAATATATATGCTCCTCATAAAAATGCCGATGTCAGACAAAAATCATACAAACATCAACTGCATTCTTAAATTATATTTGCTCTTCTTCACAAAATTTAAACTCCTGGGGGAAAGGGGTGGGTATTCCAAACATGTTTTGAAACGCTATATTTCTAAGTATATAATATTCGGTTATATCAAAGTCTACAATTACAGACAAGGACACTTGTATCAAAAATATGCAAAACCTAAACTTATAAGGGCGTGATGATCTAACACATAGAACAAGAACCAGAGTACTTTACTTCAAACCTTTTCCCCGCAGGAATCGTAATAAAAAAGGAAGAATATAAATATGCTGCAGAAACTTCCTTATTTTATAAACAATCAAAAATGCATTGAATAATAGTATGCAGAAAGATAAAGTAAGGAAATTATATATATAATATTGAAAAAAAACTTAAGTTACCATTCATTTCCAAGGCATCTACAAACTTTTTCCATTTTTTGGGATGATCACTCAGTTCCAAGTGAATGAGAAGTCGTTCCATTGCAGCAATGTTACCTTGTTTTCTGTTAATTTGACGTATTTCTTGACGAGCCACTTTAAAGGAATGCATTAGGAAAAAATGTGTTACAAATATAATTTATATAATTTCATAACAATTACATCACTGCATACATACGTTCACTAATGACAAATCGTAGATGAGAGAGTAGCTCTATTCCCTGGACACACCTAACCAAGAGAGGTCTGTATAGGGACACCAGCTTTGGTATATCATACGTGTCCAGTGTGCATTTCATGCTGTTTGTATCTGAGAGGGTTGTGCACGAATCGTTGTTTAAATCTTGAAAATATATTACAGTTTATACAAAAATAAAAATCTCGACAAAAGTTATTTTTATCAGCTCTTGTATTTACAAATCATATAGAGACATCTTTTGAGAAGAAATGTTGATAGCTCAGAAACTAATTACTGATGCAGATACGAGAGTTGATCTAAAAGTAACGTCAATGCTGCTAAATAACCTTATATCGGCGGGTTTGGGGGATAAAATTTCAATATCTTACATTTCAACTTTTTTTCCTCACAAGTCAGGAAAAAGAACTACCCGGTAGTTTCGATTGTAAATGCTGGATAAAGCGCCGCTCGTTAAATTGGAAAGAACTTTGCTTTATACAACTTGTAACATCGACAACACTGAAAACCATGTATACCAAAACATTCTAACTCATATTCGTCTCGCACAATCTGATTATTCAAAAATCGGTACAATTTACTTAAAACTACACCTCCCTTTGTGATGTAGCAAACTTGTTAGCTTTGAGTAAGTTGTATTATATTTTTTTTTTTACAAAAATGGAAAGAAGAGTTTATCCTGAAATTGATTGCGATCAATATTTTTCCTCTCAGTATACTTTGTGGTCATAGACAAGTCTTGTGTTAGTGATGTTGACTAAGACTTATAGAACGAAATCATATTATTAAAGACTAATTTTCAGATCATAACAAATACCGGACAATATTTGCATGAACGTGAGCACCTTATAAAAGTTTTCGGTACTACTTCAAATTTGCCTTGCAATTGATATAATATTTGTTTTTAAAAAACGAATTTTGTTTGAATGGGTATAAAAAATGATTGCATTTAGATCAATTCTAAATGCCCTTCAAATACAAAAGCTAGTAATTAGCATATTAATAGAGAGATAGTAAGAACTTAATACTAGTAAGCAATTATACGAGTGGTAAAGAAAAATAAAAAAAAAAGCAGTACCTCTTTCAAATGCATATGTTTCAGAAATATCTTCCATATACAAATCTATGTCTGTTTCTTTCACGCTAAAGATGCCGAGGAGGATAGGACAAAGGATTGTTTCAGAAAATATTGATTTGAATTCATCTGTTTTAACACTTTCCTTAAATGTTTTGCAATCCTCGTCACTTTGGAAGTCGAACTCACATACGACACTTCCAAGATGAATTCCAGTGCAATTAGCCTTATAAGTCTTAAAAAGCTTTGTTAAGCATTTCAAGAATTTCAGTGCAATTTTACGAAATTTAACTTCGTCGGTTGTAAATTCAAATACTTTACATTTGATATTTTCCAGCAGTTCGCAAATTAAATCAGAATTTTCGATAGATATGCAGTAATCATGTGTTTCATCCAATATTTCTGATACTTCCTCTATAGTCCAGTTGTCATTCATGCCTTCAATTATTGCCTTGAATGCTTTGTACGTGAATTCTAGAATGCCCTCTATGTCAACATGTCTGTCATGCTTTTTTCTCAGGGAGAGTTTGGTGAAAACCTTTCTTACCATTCCTACAAATAAGATGTCTAAATTTTGCAAAAACACAACTTTCTTTTTATAGAATTTGTCTCAACCCAAAGTATTTTTTAGGGTAAATTCATCAATAATGTTGCATAATTTCTAATTTTCTGACTATAGTTTTTCACAGTGACTAAACAAAAACAAAGGTAACCTTATAAAGGTCGCTTTTTAATCAAGGAAAATATATTAGAGGGATAGAATACACAGAGTATATCCGCTATTATAGATAAATGTGTGTCATTTTTAGACCAGTTTTAATTATTTGCTTGAAAATACCTCACCTTTCTTCTTGCCCCTTTTTATAATGGAGGTCACATTTTTGATCTGGTCATCTATTGCATCCATCTTTACTTTGAGCTCGTTGCCAAGATTTCGTTGGTCTTCGTCCATTTTCCTCATTTTCTCTAGATATATCTCTTCTGTCTCTTTATCGATAGTTTGGGTTTCAATCGAAGCCAGCTCGTGCAGATACGAACATCCGGTATATGTTTCCATTCTTCGACAAATATCTTCGATGTTGGTCCAGATTTTCTGGTATTCATGGTCTGACATACTAGCTGATGGAGAGTGACCAGAGACCTCATTTCTTATTTGTCTAATGCGTTCGATATCGTCCCCAACTGTCAAATCAGAAGGTCCTGGATTTTTGTTCCAACCATTTGTAGGTGGTGTGATGTTTGGGCATACATTTCTCAGTAAAGTATATATCAAGGTGATGTCGAATTCTTTATAATCTGATATAACTGCTCTATTGATAATGTTGATCTGTCCTGGACGAAGAATTCTTATAACTTGATGCGTTTTAATTAACTTTTGAAGTTGAAATGGGGATATTTCTTTAGACAAGACATCTCTGTAGATTTTTGTCAATTCATCGAAAATAGCAATGTTTACTCTTGTAAAATTTACCACCAGTGAATGTGCTGCTGCCATCTATGTCTGAAACTAGTTGACTTTTGAATTTTTCTGACTTCTCTCTGAAGATTTATCTAATCATGCCACTTGCAAAATTATGATTTCCTATCAAGTAATGAAGGCATATTTTCGCATCAAATCTTCTGGTAGTTATCATTTATGTTCTGATATTTTGAATGTGCTTACTTTACCTTATGTAATGGTTGTGTGCAAACAAAACCAAAACAAGGTATAAATCCTGAGCATTTGAGCCGGTGTAAAGACGAATAATGACCCCCATAGGATAATGACCGGGGGTCATATTTCAACGACAAAAAATGACCCCCCCCCCCAGCCGTAGAAAAAATTGATTTTTTTGTAGAAAAAGAGCCCTGGGGGTCATTTTTTTTTTATGTGTGCCTCCTATAAAAAATTGACCCCCGTTGGAAAATGACATCTTTTCCAACAGAGTGCATGATACAAAATTTATAACAGGTGATTGATGCCATGGTTTGAACCTCAATGTTTAATATTCTTCTTTATGCCCTTTTTGACCAGCACTGGACGAACGCGCAATTAAAATGTAATAAAACAGCATTATATTTACACGCATATTTCTATCTTTTTAGCCTATTGTGTTTCAGCACATATTAAAAATGGCTACTATTGGTTATAACTGTTAACATAATTTCCCTTTATGACTGTCTTCCATTTGTTTCATATTTGGATATTTGACTGATTATAGACATTCATAGCTAAATAACAGACAAGCGGGATATTCTGGCTTTTCATTGGTAAACATGTCTCTGTCTCCCAAAGTGATCAGTAAGCTTTGAGTAGGATCAACTTTTTAAAAAAAATGAAGGAAAAAAAGGAATGAGATAAATTTTCGGAAATACATACGGAAAGTTATGCAATGTAATATATATGTATATTTCGAATGACATAAAAAATCGTGGAATGTATCGAAAATGACATAATAACTCGTGCGAACGATATACTTGGATATGTATATTTCCTAATGAAAAAAGGTGAAGATAACGAACAGTGATGATTTTAAAATATCCAAGCAATACAATTTTGTTAATAGGGCATAAAAAAAGACCCCCGAAAATTGCAGAGGTCGGATCAGGTGCCTAGAAAAAGTAAGCATTCCCTGTTGACCCGTCACACCAGCCGTGATCGCTGTGAATAAATCAGTTAAACGGGACATATTCCATTGTCGAATTTAGTATAAAAACAAGGGCCAAACAATTGACCCAATTATAGGTTATATTTGTTGACAGGGTCATTGATACGACCATTGAATCTACGAAGTGCTGACTCTAAATGAGATTGTTGAAATCCCTGTAACATCTACTTACATGTATCTGTCAGTAGCCTGCCTCGATTTAAAAATTAATCGTGCTCTTGGGTATCGAATAAGTTAGTAGACGTAAACATTATATGCAAATGATAGCGGAACATTACTTCATAAATAAAGAAAGTTGACGATAGAAAAAACTGAAGTCATCCCGTTTGTCAGACAATTTAGTTATTAGTTGGTCTTTATCGTCTATAGTCAGTAGTACGTCCAAATATGAAGCTGACGTGGCAAACATAAGAAGGACATAGAATTTCTGCATGTCTGAAATATATACAATCGTATAATTTGCATTCAATTTTATTCATAAACAGTTGTCTACTCTATGGGAATTTCTTTCCAAATATATAGAAGTTGTAAAGAAGAATCCCAGTATAATGTACATTCAAGTCCGTTAACATCGTCGTCTGAGAATAGGATACATACATGTTTTCGATACAGTGTACATGTATATTGAAGTAGATTAATGTTTTCAATTTATAATCAAAGACAGACAATTTTATTGACCTTCCAGGTGAATACATGTATAAGGATTTATTTTTCCTACATTGAACTAAAAATAGATTGAAAACAATTCTGAAAAGTTATTTACCGGCATCTGAATTCCACTCAAATGAATATAATATTCAGGCACAAAGAATTGGAGAAGAGGAAGGGATTGTTCCCCCCTTTTCTGAATGTAAATGTTAGCAATATCTAGTTTGAAAATGCTCATTGAAAGTCTTGTAACCACCCCCTCTTTCTTATACGGTATAGTTAAAAATCTCTCCTACTTGAGTGGACAAGATGAACATACCATTCAGGCACACAGAATCAGGGGCTGGGTGTCCTCCCCCTTCCATTTCCATGAACGTATTTTTTATGTTTTCGCTTGAAAATGGTCATTGCAAGTCTGGTTGTCCTACCCCCAGCTTTTTGATACAGTAGAGTAAAAGGAAATCCCCCTTACATCAATAAACTTTTTGAGAGGTTCATAGATATTTCTAACTAAAGGTAATTTGTCATTTTGCCTCTTATAATGCGCCATTTGCCCTTTCGATGCTATGCCTGACATTAATTTTTCTACACTGCACCAAAATTAGATTTCAAATGCAAAATTAATGCTGCTTATGCTTATGTTAACTCCGATTCTTTCACTGTGTTTGGCTAGGACTTGAGCAAATGTAAACAAGAAACGACATATGTCTGCTTAATCAGTTTGTATCAATTTAATCGTTTAATCATATGATAAAACCATTGCTGTTTTTTCTGTTGGAACGATCAGTGATTTTCCACCATCGGAAAACAGTGCTCTCCTCGCCCTTTGGGCTCGATAAATCTTTAACTCTTCTAGATTCTGAATCATCGCATTGACCTTAAAAACAGCAATTATTGTATAATGAAATGAGATCAACATATCATCGATTTATTCCCAATTTAGCTCAAGTGAGTATTTTGGCCAGCAGGTCTCTTGATTTATTATTTTTATTTTGACCCCTAAAAATTTCAACTTTAATCCGCTTTAATCCACAAGAGGTCACTATTCTACGGGGGTCATTTTTCTTCACGTGGGGTATGCCGATTTTTAGGTTGATGACACTTTTTCTACGGGCAAAAGGGTCGTTTTCGACGTCGAATAATGACCGGGGGTCATTTTTCGCCGTTGAATAATGACCGGGGGTCATTATTCGATGGCGAAAAATGACCCCCGGTAATTATTCTATGGGGGTCATTATTCGCCTTTACACCGGTATTAAATTAGTTTTAAATAAGTAATTTTTTTTAGCATTATGAAAGAAATAATATAATCACCAAGAGGACATTTATATTGCCATCTTCGCTGTCCAAGGGTTTCTGATCAGCGACTTTCCTCACAAACCCTTGACCTATCGTGCTATTTAAAGTCGGGATTGTTAACGTCACCTGACCTTACCTTATACACAGCTTGTGTCACTGACAGAAAAAAAGAGCGTTTTTAAAACTTGAAGTATTAAAAAATAATTAAAAAGCAGGTATCGAGCGATATCTATTTGTAATTTATGGTGCAAATCTATATCTACAATTTAGATTCCAGAGGCACGTTTTACAAAAGAACTTTCGACTAAAACCGAAATGTATTTCTGCTAGTAACTTTCTTCTAGTAACTTTCTAATTTACATTAAATAGAAAATGGTTATAATCTGTTTAAACCATATGATACTTTTACGCTAGCATTATTAAATAGAATCATTAATTTTGTAAAACGGGCCACAAGTTACATTTATGTGAATATTAGCTTTATAAATGGATGACGCCATGGTATCTATTTATAGAATGGCATATTATCATATAGGTGTGTTTTTTCATTCCCGAGACGTCGCCCGCGTGGTGTAGTGATTAGAGCGTTTGCTCTAGAGTCGCGAAGTAAGGAGTTGATCCTTACCTCGCGTGTTCGAATCCCACTGCGGGACGTGGAGACCGGCCCTTCGGATGAGACCATATAAACCGAGGTAACGTGTCGCAGTAGATGCTGGCATGAAAAAGATCTCTCACTGCTCAATGGCCCTGAGTGCCGAGTATAGGTTTAAATATGTAGCCTTCCACCGGCAAGTGGTGGTGTCTCCATATGAATTTCTGACACAATTTTATGCTATTTATTCAGAATAAATTATTAAGAAACGAATTTTAAGTTATGAGCCAGAATTCACCAATGATCGGACAGTATTCACCATGCTTCGGCCAAACGGTATATTGAACAGCAAACACGTTCTACCTTTATCGCGGTAGCCTTTAAAATACCTAAAATGCTAATAAATTAGTAATATGAAAATATTGTTACGCTTAATTTAAAAATTAGCTCTCTATTTTAATTCAATATGATTGACTAAATCGATCCACAAATGTGGAGAGATGTTACATGTAGTTGCATCACATTGCCTTAGATAGGCATTCAGTGCCTCGTAATACGGCAGTTAGCCCCTTGGTTTCTGGGGATCATAGATCTTATAGTTTGAAGAAGTAAAGAGAGCCCATTTTTAGTTGTCATATATCGATAACTTGTATTTTCACGGAATATGTTGAGTTTATATATTTTTTTTTCATTTCTGCAAAAACGGCCATCAGGTTTGATATTATGCATGTATCTCTGTACAAAAAGTAATTATCCATGCAGCGGGCAATGTCCGATGCATGGTCAATTTGTGTCCGATGTATGGTGAAATGAATATACTGGGAATGATTGATTGATTGTATGTTGTTTTGCATCCCATTGGAGAAATTTTCCCTTATATAGAGACGTCAACATATACTGGTGAAGGGCTTCACATTTAGACCTTTACTTGGCACTCGGGGCCATTGAGCAATGAAGGTTCTTTATCGTACCAACACCTACCGTGGCACGGGGTCTCGATTTTTAAGGTCTCATCTGAAAGATCCGCAACTTTCACTTCAAAGTGCCGAGCGCTTAGCGAAGGAACATCTGCTACCTATTTTTTTATCGACTAAGGTCAGTCGCACCGTGATTCGAACACACGGCCTATGGATGCTAGATTATTGCTTAAAGTTGTCCGAAGTAAGGTATGTGTCCCATGCATGGTGAACTCACCCTAATGACAGGCTTTCTTCGGAAAGGAGAAAGTGGTTTATTGTAGGGGCAAGTGGGTGGGGAAAACAAGTCCTCGATTGTCTTAAATTTTCTCACATGCCTCATTCGTATACTTTTAGAACAGATATTTCATAAATACAA